TTATAAAATGTATCATGATTTTTTCCTCAGATTTTCATCATGTCGCCTAGTATGGTCTGACGTGTGTTTGTTGTGCAGGGCGTCACACACATCGGCTACACGGATCTGCCCAGTCGGATGGCCACGCAGGCCAGCTCTCTGTACTCCAACAACATCATCAAACTGCTGAAGGCCATCAGCCCCGATAAAGAGTTCTTCAACTTCGAGCCCACGGACGAGTTCGACTACGGGACGCTGGATCACGTGATCAGAGGGACGATGGTGATGAAGGTGATTCTTCCTCTCGCTTCAGTTCAACATAATCTCTCCTCATATACACTATTGTTAGTATTATTATTGTCCTGTTATCATCATCTCACACACCAAGCGCAGTTGTTTAAATAGCAAATGCATTTGTGCACCCATGGGTGTGCTGGTGGGAGAAGGAGGTGTGTTAAGACGATTTGTAGTCAGTGCTGCAGTTGTTGTTGTTGTTTTTTGAGGAAACTGAAATAGGCCTTAAATACAGAGCTTTGCCTTTTGGCTCAGCTCTTTCTTTACTACAACGGATGTACTGGTCCATTGTGGTGAAGAAGGAGCTGACCTGAGCTTTGGGTCATGACTGAAAGCACAAGATCTTGGATACAAGCGGCCAAAATGAGTTTCCTTCGCAGGGTGGCAGGGCGCACTCTAATAGATAGGGTGAGGAGCTCTGACACCCGGGAGGAGCTCGGAGTAGAGCCGCTGCTCCTCCATATCGAGAGTCAGCTGAGGTGACTCAGGCATCTGTTTCGGATGCCTCCTAGACGCCTACCTAGGGATGTGTTCCAGGCATTTCCCACCGGGAGGAGGCCTCGGAAGACCCAGGACACGCTGGAGGGGCTATGTCTCTCGGCTGGCCTGGGAACGCCTGGGGATCCCCTCAGAGGAGCTGGAGGAAGTGTCTGGGGAGAGAGAAGTCTGGGGTTCTCTCCTAAGACTGCTGCCTCCGCAACCCGGCCCCTGAAAAATGGTAGAAAATGAATGATGTAACAGGCCGCAACGTTAACCAACTAAAAGCTGCTCTGAAGTCAATGGCACAGTTTTTTGGGTTTGTAATTAGCGTGTAATTAATAGGCAGGGCCAAAACATGCATCGATGTTGCTTATTACAACCACAGGGATGACCAGCAGCACCGAAATATCTTTAAATAATGAAAATTAAAGTGTACAAGATTATTATTGTTTAAATAAATATAAAAAACACTACCTTCTTCACCTCAGGGGGCTTTGGGTGATTTCGGCTCATTCTGTAGTTGGTCTTCTAGCTTTAACCTTGCACATGAGCAGATTTGTTGCATCACTACTGAAGAATTACGTTTTTCTGCTTACAATTGTTTGTAATGTAAATAATAAATGCTCCATGACATGCTCGGTGTACACGTTCTTAAAGGAAATTGGAGATTTAATGCATGTTACGCCCAAAAACACACTCGTAACTCATAAGGACAATAATTTTTGACCATGTGTCAGATATATGTGTGTTTTTACTGTCTTTAAAATAGCAAAAGTGTATTTGGAGACGCACTAAATGTACCTGTCCTGTGCACTTTAGAGCATGTGCTTACAAATTTGTAATAATAAAATGAAATACAGAGAGTAGCGGGTTGTGGCTGCATCACCACCTCAGGTGAGCATTACTGCCTAATAATGCAACAGCCCGTCATCCATAATTCCTTGCAATAAGCTTTTTCTTGCACTTTGCACTTTTGTGGCCTCAGATGACGCGTTATTAAAGATTTATGCTTGTATTTCTTGTTTCCAGCAAGGTCAGAATCTTTTTCCTGCACCGCTGCCCAAAACCACTCCACCGCCACCGCCGGCCAAGCAAAAGAGTGTGGCAGAGCTGGAGGCTGAGAAACGCGCTGTAATCTCCCCGTTCAGACGCACCATGACCTCCGCAGGCGTCTACACCGCAGGTCAGACAGCAGACGAATGATCAACTTGATAAAGTAATCAATGAACATGTGGAAAAATACCAAATGAGCAGGTCCAAACAAAGTCTGCGGACAATAACTGCTGTTTCTGTGCTGAATTTGGTGAAAGACCTCCAGATTTATGCTAAATGGCGTTTAGACACTAGACTCTGTGTGGCACAGATTCAGTGTGTGTCTGCAGATGACTGAAATAGTGTTTAAAAGACACTCTCTGTCTGCCTGTCTGTCTGTCTGTGGGTGTGTTTGTGAAGGTCTCTCCACCGTTCTGGGTTTGGGTATTGCCTCTCCCAATGCCGCCTTCACTCAGATGGTGACGACCTTTGGCCTTGCTGGAATTGTGGGATATCACACGGTGTGGGGGGTGACTCCGGCCCTGCACTCGCCACTCATGTCTGTGACCAACGCCATCTCAGGTGAGGCGCATGCGAAGGAGTGTGATCCTGTGTGTGCACTTATATGTGTGTATGTGTGTGTGTGTGCGCGCAGGTCTGACAGCAGTGGGTGGGCTGGTGCTGATGGGTGGAGGATTGACGCCCTCGTCTCTTCCCGAATCTCTGGCTCTGCTGGCTGCGTTTGTGTCCTCCATCAACATCGCAGGTCAGAACCCCATCAACACAACACATTCAACAAACCACACCTCTGATGCGACTCTCCTAATAAAAGCCACATGTACAACACCACAAACCACACTCCCACTCATCAAGCCACACCTTCAGCTAAATAAACCACACCCCCAACACAAGCCACACTTCCACACCAACAAAACCACACCCTCTACAATGCAAACCACACCTACATAGCAAACCACACTTAAACTCTGTAAGCAACACCTCTAACATAAGCCACACCCCCAAAGCAATAAAACCACACCTTCTACACAACAAACCACACTTTTATATGACACTCCCAACAGAAGCCACACCTTCAGTACAGCAAAGCAAAATTCTTACCCAATAAACTACACCTTCAACCTCAAAGGCCACACCTCCAACTTAATAAACCACACCTCAACACAAGCCACACCTCCATAGCCACAAAACTACATCTTCTATACAGCAAACCATTCTTTTTAAACCCCATCCAAAGACAATACACAGCCCCAACATTACAAAGCACACCTCTAATCCAACAAGCTACACCTCCTTTACAGCAAACAACACATACACTCTGTAAACCACACCTCCAACCCAAGCCACACCTCCAAAAAAACTAAATTACACCTCCTATACAGCAAACAATTTTTTCAACTCAGTAAATCCCATCCAAAGACAATCCACACTCCCAACAATACAAAACCACACCTCCAAACTAACAAGCTACACCTCCTTCACAGTAAACCACACCTAAACTCTGTAAACCACACCTCCAACCCAAGCCACACCTCCAAAAAAAATAAACCACACTTTTAATCCAACAAGCCACACCTCCTTCAAAGCAAACCATAATTAAACTTGGTAAACCACACCTCCAAAAAACAAAACCACACCTCTAATCCAACAAGCCACACCTCCATCACTACAAACCACGCCTCTAATACAACAATCCCCACCTCCAACACAACAAAGCACACGTTTCACTCGCCTTACACTGGACTACACTAGTAATCTGACATCTGTAATGTGTTTTACAGTCTGATCTGCTGTGTCTGCAGGTGGTTTTCTGATCACTCAGAAGATGCTGGACATGTTCAAGAGGCCCACGGACCCTCCAGAGCACAACTACCTGTACACACTGCCAGGACTGGCCTTTGTGGGCGGTTACGGGGCGTCTGTTGCTGGCGGATACAGCATTGAGCAGGTCACATGACTCTGTGTGTGTGTGTTTGTCAGTATATATGTAGAGATACCTGGACTCTGGTCTAATGTGTGTGTGTGTGTGTGCAGATGATGTACCTGGGCTCTGGTATGTGTTGTGTTGGAGCTCTGGCCGGTCTCTCCGCTCAGGGAACCAGTCGTTTAGGGAACGCCCTGGGAATGATCGGAGTCGCCGGAGGAATCGCAGCCACACTCGGCGCTCTCAAACCCTCACCTGAGCTCCTGTCGCAGATGTCCATTGCCATGGCAAGCGGAGGAACTCTGGGTAATAAACGCTGTGAATAAATTCAGTGCCGGATGTTATTAAATGATTGAAATTCAATAAAATTAAATGCGCATCACATTTTTGAGTAAAATAACGTAAGCGGCACACATTAGCGGCAATTGGATTTGTAATTTGATGCAAAGATAATATAAAGATAATGACAAAATGGCGAATGTAGTGCGTCCAAATTCCATTCATACTGCTCACATTCATACTGTATAGAGCGCACTTTTCTAGGGGACGAGTAGTGCGTTTAAATTCAAATGCAGTACCTACTGAGTAGTAGGCAGTTTCGGACGCAGCCCAATAGACCATATAAGCCGAGGTCGCCCCTCATTTGTATGTAATTTAGCCAACCCGGGCTCATTGTGGAAACGCAGTCCCACGGACGTTTCTGGAGACCGCGGAATACGTCCCGGTGGGTACGTATGGCTGCAGTTTTTATTTTTGCGAAATTCGCGAGTTGTTTTTGAGAAATTTCGCGCCCGCGATGTTCTCGCGTGAACCCACCAGAGGCCGCTGTCCGACTGACCGGATGATTGACTGCGCGACCGGCCAATCGGCCGACCCGCCCTCCTCCTTCCCTGAACCCAACCAATTTTACTGGTTGACCCGCCCGCCCGTTCACTTCCCTAAACCCGAGCAACAGTTTACAAAAGCCGTCCAAATAAAGAAAAGCCCTGATTTTTTTTTGTTCTACCGTGTTTTCGGATTTCACTGCGTTCTCACCCTGTTACGAAACTCGTTCACTTAATTTTTGGGATTCTGTTTTTGTCTTACCTGATTGCTGGAACCGCTTTTCCCCGGACTCGAAACCGATCGCCGTGGTCGACTCCTCTCTGCATCTCAAGCTTGTCGACGTACACGCTGAGCTGAGTGGACAAACGGGTTGCAGCGGCGAAGCCCTCCACAAGGAGGTAAGCGCGAAAGGGAACGGCGTCACACCGCCCCGCAGCGTTCGCTTGAAAAAAATAAATGCAGCCGTACGTACCTCCCTGGACGTATTCCGCTGTCTCCAGAAACGTCCGCGGGACTACGTTTTCAGAATGAGCTTGGGTTGAATTTAGCTGTTGATATGCGAGCGCATCGATCGCTCACATCCCCTCTCATCATTTACCTGCTCATGTGTTGTGGCTGCTTGTAAACTCATGAACAAACACCTGCGATCGGGTCATGAGATTGGCGAGTACTGATCCAGTCATGAAATGTGACTATTGGCCAATACTGATCTCCGGAGCTTCCCTAGTGTATATATCTGTGTGTGTTTCTGTGTTTGTATGTGTTTGTATGTGTCCATGTGGTTGTATACTTGTGTGTATGTATGTGTATATGTCTATGTGTGTGTGTGTGTGTTTATTTGTTCATATGTATGTGTATGTGTGTGTGTGTGTGTGTGTGTTGTCAGGTCTGACCATCGCCAAGCGCATCGAGATCTCAGATCTCCCTCAGCTGGTGGCTGCGTTCCACAGTCTGGTGGGTCTGGCTGCGGTGCTCACCTGTGTGGCCGAGTACATGATCGAGTATCCACACCTGGATGTTCATCCGGCGGCCGGCGTGCTGAAGATCGTGGCTTATCTGGGCACCTACATCGGCGGAGTGACCTTCAGCGGCTCTCTGGTGGCGTACGGAAAGCTACAAGGTGCATTTACTCACTTTAACAGGAACCTATTATGCAGAAATGACCTTTATATGTGGTATAAACCCAGTAGTGTGTGTGTGTGTGTCTGCGGTCTGTAGCTCCGCCCTTTTCTGAAAAGAGCACTTCTCATTTGCATTTAAAGCTACAGTCACCAAAATGCCAAAATTAGGATCAAAGCCTGAAAGGGTCAGTTTCAGAGAGCTGGAGTACATTATCTGTCTATGTGCAGGTCTGCTGGATTCGGCTCCTCTGCTGCTGCCCGGGCGGCACATGCTGAATGCGGGTCTGATGTTGGCATCAGTGGGCGGGATGGTGCCCTTCATGCTGAGCGACTCCTTCCATACCGGCATGGGCTGCTTACTGGGCGTCTCTGGACTCTCCACTGTCATGGTGACAACAACACCATTAAACACACACACACACACACACACACACACACACACACACACACACACACACACACACACACACACACACACACACACACATACACACACACACACACATACAGAAACACACAAACAGAAACTAATATATTCATTTATGTGTGTGTGTATTATCTGTGTGTGTGTGTGTGTGTGTGTGTGTGTGTGTATTATGTGTTTATGTGTGTGTATTGTATGTGTGTATATTGTGTGGATTATGTGTGTGTATTACTTGAGTGTATTATGTGTTTGTGTGTATATTGTGTGTGTCTGTGTGTTATGTCTGTGTGTGTGTTTATGTGTGTGTGTGTTATGTGTGTATTATGTGTTTATGTGTGTATATTGTGTGTGTGTGTGTGTCTGTGTGTTATGTCTGTGTGTGCTTATGTGTGTGTGTGTTATGTGTGTATTGTGTGTGTGTTATGTCTGTGTGTTATGTCTGTGTGTGTTTATGTGTGTGTGTGTGTGTTATGTGTGTATTATGTGTTTATGTGTGTATATTGTGTGTGTGTGTGTGTGTGTGTATTATGTGATTATGTGTGTGTATTGTATGTGTGTATATTGTG